TACTCAACATAGTGACGGTGTAATTACCATCACAGATTGTACGGGAAATTCCAACTTTGGAAAAAACAAATATTTGGCCTACCCAAATTTTGACTACTACCCGTGCGTCTACGTCCTGGATTGGCCAATCAGTGGTGCCCCACGGTGGCGGATAGCGCACGTTTATTGCGGTGCTCTGATTGGCTGACCAACGTGGCGTGGTAGGTGTATATGTATATTGGTGTATGCTGGATTATGTATTATGTATGTATATTGGTGTATGTGCTCCATTTATATTTATTCAGTTTGGCTAGCAGCGTAGGTGCAACAGCATAATACTATCCCACACGCTAATTAATGTGCCTGGCGACGTATGGAAGCTGCTAATGTATCACTTGCCATACGACGTCTATGGTAGTTGACCAGGACCTTAGCTAGGGAGCAGTGCTATCCACCTCTGTGTACATACTCTAATCCAGTAAACCGAACCTACAAAACTATACAGGTGTTTGTGTTCTCTCCTGTATATAGAACTTATTACCCAGAACATCTAACATGGCGCAGTGCGTAGTTTTACTGGATTATTACGAGTGATTAGTGCAAGTTTGTGGAAAGCCGGCTGATGGATCCCCGCCTTGGGTCAACCCCGCGTCATCCCTCGAAGAATTTCGCAACTTTGAGCAGTGTCAGTGACAGTGATTTTCTGTGAAGTGTTTAGTGCATTGTGTGTTTCGTGCCATTCATGTGTGACCTTGTTCGAACGGATTTCCAAGGTATACGGCATGTTCTGGGCATTTGTGGTATGTAGAGCTCAGCGCACCCTCCTCTGACCGCTTACAGAGAGCGACTGAGCTACTCCTATCTCCACCCCCCTCCCTCACAGCGCCGCCTCCACCCCCCCTCACAGCTGGGGCGAGACGCTCTGCCTGCCTGGGACACACACACATACATGTACTAACACTTGCTGACCGCGCGGTTCTTATATATATTTTATATATATAACCTACTTATCTGTGTATTTAATTAAATTTTTTTGTCTGAAATCTTGTTGATACGACGGGCTGACCGGTCAACACTGATTTAAGATACAGTACACAGATAAAGTAGTTATGTCTCATGCCTTACGTAGCCGTGGACCCAGCGCCTGGATGAGTCAAGCGGATGATAGTCCCCCAGAGATGGATGACTAGGCCGGCCCAGCTCCCACAACATCGCGCAGCCCTTCACCTCAACATTCAGCGTTATCTCCAGAGATAATTGCCTTAATGAAGTTTATGAGAGATGAGAGACGCGAGGATGAAGCTCACAGACGTTTGGCGGATGAGCCCAGAAGGCAAGCAGAGGCAGAACGAGACCACCAACGGAGAATGGAAGACAGTGCACGGTTTGAAGCCTTGATATCTCGCCTCACTGTTAACCAAGCCCCTGGCTCTAACACTGCCTCGGTACTGAATGGTTCAGATACCTCATCCATGCTTCCTTCACGCCCCCCAGCCCCACCTAAAGCAGCAGCTCAAACGCCGCCCATCTTGGAGCCTGATGTAAATTTCCAGACTTTTCACGAATGGCGGCGGCGGTGGGCTGATTATGCTACAATGGTGGATCTCCAGAGTTTGTCACAGCCTAAACAACTCATCCAGCTGCGTATGTGCCTGTCCTTGGAAGTTCAGCGTGTCTTAGAACATACGTTGCAGGTACCCCCAACCTCGTCGCTGTCTGTAGAGGAGGTACTGGACGTTCTACAACGGCACATCAAAGGACAGCAGAATGAAGCTCTGCGCAGGAGGGAATTGTTTAGCTGCAGACAGATGGAGGGTGAGTCTTTTGACGCTTTTTATGTACGTCTTAAGAGAGCCTCGGAAGAGGTAGATATATGTTTAGGCCACCACCAGCAGTGCGAGGAGACCCAGTTGAAGCAGGTGATCCTGATGGGTGTTAAGGACGAGGAACTTGTCCAACGCCTCACCTCCCTCGACTCTTCCTCTTCTCTTCAGGATGTGTTGACGATATGTCGCTCCTATGAGGCTGCCAGGTGTGCCACCTCTGCCATCCGAGCTCCCCCTACAGCTGTACGCGCTGTTTCCCGGTACAAGAAGGACAAGAAGTCTGCTCCTACGCCTTCGCCCACCACGTCCACGCCCGGTTCATTTTGCAACAACTGTGGTAAGCAGCACGGAACACAGGTATGTCCAGCTGCTCAGTCTACCTGCAACAGTTGTGACCGTAAGGGCCACTGGTCACTCACAGTACGGTGCCCAGCCAAACGCGTCCAGTGCAATGTGTGCGGCCGTCTGGGCCACTATGACAAGTGTTGCCCTTCCAACAAACCCAAGGAACAGCGTCAACGGAAGCTTCAGCGCCCTTCTACCAGTGAGGGCCGCCCACAGTCGCCAAATCAGAGGCACGACGACCCTGGACAAAGCCCGACCCATTTTAGGAGGGTGTACTCCTCGCATCCCAGGACCAAAGTCCCCCAGTATATCAGCGTCATCGTGACCTACGGCGGTGTGTCATCCCGCCT